ACGATTTCTGACGTAATACGTCTTTATTAACTTCTTCTTCTGCTGAGCGTTGTTCTGCATCTTTGTAAGTATCCAGTAACGGACGTAAAGTAGTTTTTATGTGCACAAACGAACCCGTTTCAGAGGCAATGTCACTATCGTCGGTATCGTCCACTTTATTTCCACACAGATCACACCACCTCCACATTATTTGTTTCTTGCTATACGGAATCATAATCAATAAAGTTTTATGCACTTTCTTGTTATTTTATCGGTAATCGATTAGATAAGATAAGTGATTTTTTCTGTATTTTTTTCTTGCGAATTGTGAAAGATAAGAAGCGTCGACACTCGAAACGTACTTACTCGAAACTGTAAATGAATACTGCTTAAACGGTATTATGTAAATAGGTAATAAAAATTTTAAACTATTTAGTTCTGTAAGATCAGTCTGCCGACGACGATGAATCATGGTATAATATAGTCTAGGAGGCAGTGAAGATTTTCGGTACTAATTTTCCCATCAGCAAACACCGATAGAATAATTCGGTATGTTATTCTAAGTAAATTTCATATACAGGGTGTCCCAGGCTGAGCGTGCATAAGAAGTTTCTAGAGAACCACAATATCTAGATCGGGGGATTTTTTGCACATCATTGTTTTACAACGAGATCTATCGATTAAAAATATTTTCAATATGGCGGAACTTCCAGAAATACCGGAAGTTCACAGCAACTTTCTTATTTTAAATAGGTGCCCCCATTTTTTATTACACACTTAAATTCTCTGTAAAATTCTATGAATATTGATGTTAAACACTCTATATCTAACATTAACCGTTTTTGAGTAAAAAAAATATTTAAAATTTTTGGACGAAAAAAACTACTTGTCAAAAAAATTTGTATAGCCCAAAAGTCAGATTCAGTGATTACCACAGCTACTGTGACATAAAGAGAAGACATGTAGTTATCTATTTAAAAAAAATGTTCAAATGTCATATAATAATGGCGGTAGCTGTCATGGAATTGAGCGATTAAATTATCATAAATCATTTTTTTCAAATAGAAACTCACTTTTTTTATTTCACTAGTGAAAAGTTTTTCAATTCATTACTTTTTAACTATACATGTTCCTATACCTTAAATAAATCGTTTTTAAGTTACATATTTAAGATTTAGTCTGAAAACGTATATTTTTCTAGCTTCCTTTGACATTAAGTGTCAAACAGTCAGACAATTTATTTCCATCTGTCAGAAAACGAATTATTTGAATTTCCTATATTATAAATACTGTATATCTCGTATTTTCGCTCTTTAGTGATATCTAATAGTTGATATTAATTATTAATAATATACCGTATGATAGAAAAAAAAACAGAGCAAAGTTGGCTTGGAAATGATGATCGATATCATACTACTTTTTGAACAAAGTGTCACAATATGACATGGTTTGGTTGGGTTTGGTAATCAATTTTGTAAATCAGCCAGATTGGCTTTTGATTATAGTTTATGATAGTGTCAAATGATTTGTTAAACTTTCCTCCACTTGGGATGTGCCAAACTGTCATTTCCATTAATTAACTGATTAATTTCAATAAATGTCAAATATTTATGACTGGAAAAAGAGGTGGACTCTTTTTTATCTAGTAAACCCAGCCGAAAATTTTAGCCAGACTCACAACTGGAACAAACTATTATATATTTCCCCACCTGGAAAATAAGCACAAAAAAATCACTGCCTCCTGGACTAATACTCACAGTACAGTTGAGAAAAAATATCCTTTTCTCTATCATAAATGACGGTTCTCAGTAAGAGAACTTGGAGTAATACCCAAGTGTTTACTAAAGAATACAACTTCAGTATTAAACGTTCTGTCACATATATCCTTATTAGTATCTTCTAGATATTACTTTACATCTGTGGGTATATTTACTTTTTCAATATTCAGTAAGTTCTGAAAAAGCCTTTATGAGCAGAAAGCATGTTCATTACAATGTCGCTATCGTCTTCATTTTCGAATATATTTCTACAAAGATTTCACCATCACTACATTAAATTTATCTCTGAGTTTAAGGAATCAGAATAAATAAACATTTATACACGTTCTCATTATTTTATCGGGTATTGATTAGATAAGATAAAAGAAAGTGGTTTCTGTACTTTTTTTTGTGAATCGTGACGCGTGAGAAATAAAATCTCCAGTTAAATCGTATACGTAATTTTATAAAGGATACTAAAAATACGATGAGATTGTTTTACCGACAATGATGTATCTATGATATAGTTTATTTCTTAAGATTTATAAACATATGGAGAGAACCTACCAGAGTTTTGAAGTAATTTCACAGCGCGTCGTTGTGAACAAAATCAGAATTTTACAGAATAATACATTCTGTAAACTTCTACAAACTTACTATTTTGGATCATCAAAAATTAGTATAGCTGGTAGATTATACATTAGGCTCTGTTGTCAACATTATGTCTAATATACCCGAGGTTGAACTCCTGCAAACTGTTGGAATACCAACGCCTTTGTTTTGCAAGAGGAAACATTTTGTTAAGACCATTCTATCTTAACCTTCGTAAAATGTAAAAAAATAAGCAAATATAGTTTCCATACTAAAATAGTTAAACAACAATCCAGATGCTCAATACATATAATATTTTATCAGCGCAACAATACGCGAATCTATGTTTATTGTTCGAGATATAACGTATAAATACTATAGTATAAAATACTAAATTGCATTAAATACTAATGATACGAAAAAAAGATGACATACGTTCAGCAAAATAAAATACCATAAACAAAAACAAAATTAAATCAAATATTATATTAGGTAAAAGAAAAAAAAATGGAAAACAGGTTCTGGATATTGGAAAGACATGCATGGCAAAAAAATGGGAATGGAATAAATTTTTCTTTCAATTTGCAAAAATATACAATAGATAAAATGACAGCGATCTTCAATTCATAGCCATCGCTGACGACGTTTTTTAGATCATATTGTAGTATGTAAATATGTATTCTTTATATTAAGTGTACTTATCATTTTCCTAGTGATTGAAAATATTTACCGTTATTTATAAACATTTATCATAAAGGAGTCCTAATCATGTCTACGTCTATTAGACAAAGATTAAAATTTTAAGAAATTGTACGTAGGATTTTTGATATTATTTATCTCTTTACTTTTTTAATATTATTCCTCTTTATATATTTTTATTTATTTTATATCTTATTATGATTCCCAATATTGATATCTATTTTTTTATAAAAAATAAAATGTATAAAATATATGCAACCAGTCAGGTATTTTTTATAGAGGTGAGCCACTTTTGAGACGCGTCTTTTTTATGTCTTTTTAATCCGCAAAAAGAACTTGTATTCAGTGTGTATGAATAGATAGGGAATTCTAGCAAACTGTACCAACATCAAAGAAATATGAAAGACAAAAAATAAATATACAGGGTGGCGCACCTCATTTGTCTCGGTTGATTATACGAAAACGGAAAGATGTAGAAACAAAATATTTTATGAGTATATGTGGGGAGACAATGTACACAATTTAAAATTATTTTGAAATATACAGGGTGTTTCAGAACTAAGATCCATACCAAAGTTATATTTTTTCTTATGGAACACCCGGTATTTTATTTCATTTTTGGATTCTTTGGTCCAATAAAAAATATTTATTATAAGCGTTAAATATGTCTAAAATCTTTGGTTTTTGAGATATTTAAATTTGCATGCTACAATAGAATAGATTATTAACACCTTGTACATTACTTTTCAGAATTAATTTTTGTGCTGAGTTTAAACGTAGAGAAATAAACTTTACTGAAAAATGGTATTGCTTCCTTAAATTTATACAGGGCTATCAAAAGTTGCTGATCTATTTTAAGGATATATTCTATATAAAAACTTCGTTATTTCAAATGCAACACCCTGTATTTCTTAAAATAAATCGAAGCAGATTCAAATGCTCTTTCAAATTATATTAGGGTTTCTATACCCATCTAGCTCAGATTTTGAGTAAAAAGCGATTTTTAAATAATGCAATCTAGATGGCTGGCCATGGCAGTTTTCTAGTGACAGTAACTATTTTCAAAGTCGATATTAGTTTTTGGACATTATTATTTATAATAGTTTACTTAAATTTACCTACAATAGTTTAATAAGTAAGTATTTTATTAGTAATTATTTTATCAAGAAAAATAAAGCAGTATCTGCTGGCGGAACGAATAGATATGTTACAAGTGATTTTATTTTGTGAGGAAAATTGCTTCTTGGCCTCAAGGGCTTATGCTCAAAGATATCCAAATAGGAATCTTCTTGATAAGCGTTCCTTTGAAAAAGTACTAATCCTATTTCGCAGAGCTGGTAGTGTGGTTTATAAAAAACCTATTAGGCAGAAACCTGTCGTTAGAAGCGAAGAAAATGAATTTGCCGTAATTGGCTCTTTTATAGAAAATCCATGTACATATCTAGAAATCTACAATCATCGTAAAATAAATAAAAGAACTATTTCTTCGTTTTTCTTGATAGAATAATAAATACATATTAATAAATATTATTTATTAAACTATTGTAGGTAAATTAAATAAAAGTAAACTGGTATAAATTTAAATAAGTCCATAAACTAATTTCAATTTTGAAAATAGCTACTGTCACTAGAAACTTGCCATGACGACACTAGCCCTCTTTGTTGCCATTTTATTGAAAATTTTTTGCGATTACCATAGTTATTTATAACTCATGTCCAAATATTCGGATATCTATGACAGGTAGTAAACAAACTCAAAAGAAGCTTTCTAAAAATCAAATATTGTCGAAAATCATTTTACATTAGATATTTCTTTGATGGCCGCTCTGCTAGTGTTTAAAAAACGTGAAAATAAATAAAAAAATCGCATTAAATAAATTACCATTCTACATGCCGAACAACAACATGCGAAACAAACGAAAATCGAAAACCAAAAATCAAAATCAAGCCATCTGTCATGCTATCGGGGCAAACCTGCGGCTTGTGCTCGACCACGTGCTGCGTCGACTTCACGAAAAACTGCTGCTTGTGTGCGCAGCTCTTCACGTTCGCCCCTCCGAAATCGTAAATGCTCTCCTCGAACCTCTTCACATGGTCCTCCACGTGGTAAATGACCGGATCTGGATGATAATTAGGAAGCGACTCGATATCCCGAATCGCAGCGTTCCTTTCCAAGGAATCTTTTCGCGAAACGTGACCCTGAGACCGTTCCAAAGAACCGAACTTCGGGGAAGAGCTTTTCGGTTTGCGTTCTAACGAACCTAACTTCGGACTAAACATTCCGGTTTTCTCTAGGTTAGTGTGAGAGTTATACACGCCTTGCGCGTTCCTTTCGAGCGAGTTAAGTTTAGGAGAGGTAGTGGCCTCGGCGTGTCGGCGTTCCAACGAACCCATCTTAGAAGCGGAACCGTCTGTACTAGTACGCGAAGGCGTGCGTTCCAAGGTTCCCGAACCGACGACGGCTGATTTCGGGGGTTCGTCCGGAACCTCCGGATCGAGTTTTTGCAGGTTCTGCATGGGGATGGGGCAGGTTTTGAGGACGGGTTCGGGAATGTCATCTTTTTTATCGAAATCTACCGCTACCGTATTAAATACCGAGGCTGGTACTGTATACATTGCCGGGGTGACGCCTCTGGTCTCGTTCTCCTTCATCAGGTGCGCCAGCACTTCGGGGTTCTGCGCCACAATGTAGGTCTGGGGGACGGGATTGGACATAACAGAGGGAAAGCGTCAGCGACGACGAGTCGTTGGAAAAAAATATTTTTGAAGGTATAACAATTATTAGCAATACGTAACTGAACGAAGTACACTGAG